ATGACGCGTGGCGTTGAAAGCCGCAAGGTAGCTGTCTCGCCGATGCAGCCTTATGTTTGTACGGTAACCAATTGTTTTGTTGTTATGTTATTTACACGAGGTGTAGGCGAGTTGACCCTGAATGTTTGTTTAGGGCATTAAGGTTTTCAGGTAAGTCCCCCTTCTATCCCTCTTATTATACATTATTTCATAGGTCAGACTGGTTATACGGCAGCAAAGCACCAGTTCAAATGGCTGATGCAATGCACTTGATGATGCTGATGATGACGTCAATCACTTTGTTCTCGTAGATTTATGGTCAAGGTACAGTGGGTTTTACTGAAATTCTATTATGAATCGCTTAAGAAAATTCCTCTTCAGCGTTTGCAGTCCTCGTATCAAGAGATAAATTTGCAGGAACAACTATACCACTTTAAGTGGGTGACAATGGTGAAGCAAATAAGTGTGAGATGCACATGGTAAGCTCGGTATGAATGACAGCGCTTATCTTAAACAAATACACTGGGAAATCGATCGTTTAGTGTGCTCATTTATTTAATCAGGCATAAAGACTGAGTGAATTCTTACTTTAATAATAATATCTAGTACAAAATCTTTGGCAGCTAGTTTTTCAGCTGTTCATCCCAGTAGTTCACAAGCTAGGCGGCACAGCCTTGTCCGGAAATGCAACAGACGCGTTTCGCTCCATTGGGACTAGTCAGTGGTGCGTAATTTTTTGGTCCATTACTGGGGGTCGAATCCTTGACTGCTAGAAAAAGCTGCCAACTAGCCAGTAGGTTAAGCCACTGAGCCATGGGAGACGTTCGCTGAGCCACATAATTTGTAAACTAAATGGAATATAGCACCACCTATCTTCCACTGTCACTGACAGTGGCTACCCTGCGGGGTGATGAGGTCCTCCAGATGGACGCTATATCCATAGCATTTGAACCAGGAGAGGATATATATTTAATATTATTCAAAAATAGAGGATTATAGTTGTACTTTTATCGCATTCACGCAGTCTGATCCGGAATAGCACCAGGCGTGTTTCACACCATAAAAGCCCGTCAGTGATGCGCATTCCCTCCATCCCCTAATAGGGATGGAACCCATGACTTCTAAAGGCAATGCTAACTATCCAGCAGCTTAAGTCAGTGCTTTACTGGAAAAGGGTGTGCTAATTAGCTCGGGAACTATGGAGATGAATACCATAAACTTGCAACTCTACTCTTGCTACTCTTGAGTTAAATAAAATAAATCGCCTTTCTTAGTTTCAAATTCTATGGAAATAGCGTCCAGCTAAAGGATGTAATCACCACGCAGGTTAGCCACTGTGAGCCTCAGAGGAACAAAGGTGGTGTCAAATCCCATTCAGCCTGCAAATGATGTAGCCCAACCAACGTCCCCTAGGGATTATTGGCTTTAGATGTTTGCTAGTTTGCAGTATGCCTCTAGCGGCCATTCGTTCGACGCCCTGTAGGGGACCAAGGGAATGCGCACCCGTGATGAGCCCCAATAGGGCGAAACGCGTTTGGTGCTTTTCCGGACTAGGCTGTGGTATCTAGCTTGTGAACTGCTGGGATGAATACCCTAAAATACGACTAAAACACTGCTACTTCCAAATAATATAACATAGGTAACCTCTCTTCATTTTAAACGTTATGGCTTAAGCGCCCAGATCCAAACCGCCAACAAGTCAACATGTAAAAGTCAACCACAAAGTCTTACTTTGTAGTTTGTGACTCCTTCTCCGACTGCTGTCACGATTCCAGCGCACTCCGAGCCCATGATGAACGGAGGTTTGATCGCTTGATCCAGTAATCCTTGGCGCATCATAACATCTAGAAAGTTAACCCCGCTTGAACAAGAAAACATAACAAAAATTGGGCTTTGAAAACGATATGGCTTTTTACCTAAAACATGTGCTTCTTACTGAGTTAGGTTACACTAACAAAAGAGTTTTACGTTGCGTGTGATCAAATACATACGATTCAATATGGGTCAATTTGAAGCCGTTGCATTGTGCAAATAGGTGCAGATAGGCAAATGCAATTATTATAAACACTTCTTTTGAATTGGATCTTAGCTTGTTCTATCACTGAATACACGCGATTGCGTGACTGGTACTTAAATGCACTGCTTTGATTAGGAAATACAAAAAATAGTTCAGTTCACCGTATTTTGTAACTCTTAGATCCAGCCATCATTGACGGATATTGAAAACCTCCGATTTTGTGATACCAATTTGACGCAGTTTCAAGTATTTATCCAATGTAGCACAAGGCAATACAAACAGGCTCTCGTTTGATTACGGTTGCTGCCGTATTATAAACGGCAACTGACTACTAACCCCCTCGCTGCTCGTGGTAGTCTTAAAATCTAATGACGAGCATACCGCAGCGTGATAAAACGCGTTTACAGCTAGACGATCTCATCACCGATCGCTGCGTGTCACTCCGTGTGCTTTTGTATGCACGGCTTACAATCTAAAATATTTCTATTGACTAAACAATGGGAAATGCTGTATATACTGCCTTAGTGAGAAACGTGTGAAAATTTTTACTTCAACAGAGCGAATACAGTTGCAAAAACGTACATAAAAGTAACTCAGGTCCCTCCTTTGCACTTCATCACTGCAGTGTACCCCAGATTTATCGCGTGTTGTAATATCGGAGTATGAGCTAAACCCAGTAATCATTCTGGGATCAATAATGGTAAAGAAACTAAAGGTTAGTCAAAAAGAGATGGCCTTAAAGTGTGTATTGATAGCTTGTCGTTGCATTTTCAACTAGTTCAACTGTATGCTGCACAAAATCCGGTTAATATATTTAGGTGATATTCAAAGCTATACTCCCACAGAGTTACAGTGCGAATTTAACTCAGCCGGCACTTTATGGATTTCAAATTAACTTCTTTGTTGACCAATCGAACACAGAACTAAATGAATTAAGCGGTAGCATCAAACAGAACTGGAAGGGTGTGCATCAATGTCTTAATTATTTTTATTCTCATTAGATGATTTGCCACTAGCATGTAGATTATTTTAATGTGTTTGCTATGCAGTTTGAACTTTACAATCTATGTGTGTGACGCACAATTTCACACCGGGATTACCTGAAAAGGTCTTGCGTTACGAGTTTTTATTCGTCACATTAGTATTCTTTAGATGCACTTTATAGCACAAAGCAGAATTGGAGTACAAATTTTGCACTCAAACATGATAGAAAACGAAATGTCACAGGTGGTTTCGTGTTGGTCTTGCATTTATATATCAAGTAGCCCAAATTGATTTTTTCCGTTTGATTTTTGTACAACTCCAGTTAATAAAATGAAAGATATTATTTTAGTTTTTAATCATCACGTATTTTATTTGAGCAAACGTGACGTGAAATAAACAGTAGTCCGTTAAGGTTTTGCTTGATTTTCCGAGCTGGGTTATTTCGTTGTCCACTTATTTCGTCAACAACAGGGGTTAGATTGCTTTTCGAAAAATCACATCAGTCACATGCGATCAGTAAATTGAGGTTCAAAAGTAAAGAATACTGAAAGCTAAATTGAAGGAGACTGAACTGGCGTACATTATTCGATCGGAAGGCAGTTTATCTGTCAACTCTGAATCTTACATTGTACCAGGTTACTAGTATTTTGTGGAGTAATATACCTCGGACATACGACCAGGCGTCTGTCCGTCCGGATAGCTGAGCACTGGCCTGGGTCTCTGCAGGAAAGTATTGTCGAAAGTATCATGACTTCCATCGCTGGACATCCGGTTCAAATCGTAAGCGAAGTTCTCACCAAGGATGTCTTCCGCACTTGCTACACCATACCAAACCAATGCCCAAAGAGGCATTGGAAATGCCACCTAAAGATGGTCGAAGCGGTTGCAGTTAATTCAACGCAACCAGAGTTTTGTTAGCCTAGGGTGCTGTTCGAATATGTTACTTTGTCTTGATATAACGAAACGCTATCCGTATGGGACACTGATGAAGACCTAATGTGTTTTCAAACCTCGATTGAACTATGTTTTATTTAAAAGGCAGCAATCTGTTAGGTTCCCTCTATCCTATTCGATCAACCTACTTCCGTTCGAATAATGTGAACCAGTTCAGTCTCCTTCATTTCGACCTGCATTAGTTTGCATTTTTATCCGTCAAAGTTTGTTACTTGTATACGCCTGATGTGATTTGCAGACAAGAGCTCTTTTGCAACCGCGTTTTCTAACATTGCAACTGGACTGATCTGCGGGTGATGTCGTCAGTGCTCCAGAGGGTAGCCGAGAATTTCACTGATTGATGAGCATATCAATTTTGATGAGGACCCCTTCGAATCCTTTCCAATGACTTAAGGTCATTCATCGCTCAGTCTCCGAATCATTCAGGCTCAAGTTTTACTTTACAATCGGAGGCAGTTTCATTATTTCTCATTTGCTTGTACACGGAATCTCAAGCAATACACATATTTACTCAATTCCTTGCAGAGAAACAAGATAGAAGGAATTCCTTTCATTTTCTTGTTGCCGTTTTCGCCAAAACCGTATTGTCTCAGTAAGTTTTGCTTCTTACCTCATTCACGTAAGCAATGTTGTGTGATAGCTTCGGCAAGCTCACTTGTGCTGTCGTATGCTGGCGGATATTCTCCGCCATTTTTGACCTACTAGGTTTTCCTGTATAAATCTACAATTTGCGCCTCCACACTAAAGTAAATTTGTCTGAATCGACGTGAAAAATGAACGCATATGTATATGAGGTTCTGGCGGCTACGGAAAAGTATGATCTATGTCTATCTTAGCTAACACAAATTGAGGGATATAACTACCAGTATAATCCCGAATTACTTTATCGGAATATGTGTGATAACGCTGTTATTTCATGCAGCATTTCAGGTAACGTAGAGTAACAAATATGAGAGTAAGCAGGTATCTGAATAATTAAGATAATTCTATAGAGACTTCGCAAACAAATGGAATGCACGAATATTGCAGACGGTGAGTTAGACCGCATAGTTGCCTTAGGAATTATGACGTGCTTAGCGAACGCTAGTCACGTGGATAACCGATGCATTATTCACAGTTCCCCTGATAATTTACAGTCATATCTCACAAGTTTCGCGAGACCATTGTTATCGATAGACATCACATACCGTTCTGTGTTTAAAAACAATAGAGCAGCATAAATCTGTCATTGAGGCTACCTGAAACAACAGTCGAGAAAGTTGTCCAACGGTCGATTGCACATGTATTTGTTTTCAGACGTATGTTAATTGCACAAACGTGACCCACAGGTATGCCTAAAATGGCAGTGTCATCTCACAAGTTGCGTTATCTGACAAAATTATTTGGAACACAAAGCAGGACGGATAGTAAAATGAACCCATTATTGCTACAAAAGAAGTGCTTACAAGGACCTACAAGTCAGCGGTACCGAAAATTGCTTAACATTCATCGACTACGTCATGTTAGACAAGCTAGAGATTGCTTATGAAAATTAAGTGACACACGTATCCGCTATTCTAAGCTAATATATATGGAGAACTCGAACACTTGTACTTCCAGCGGAGCTCAATGTCCTAGTGATCACGGCAAAAACCTCCAATCACTGCGTGCCGATTTCCGCTCCTATATCACGCTAACGCTACTTGACGAGTCCAAACAAGAACGAAACGCGTTGTGGAGTGTCGTGACGAGGAGGTCAAAACCGAAACCCTCCAACTCAAACGCCTAGTAACTTGGACTCCCAAATTGTCATTACCCGTGTAATTGCATGCAGGCATATGTGCTTAGACAACAAAGTTGCAAACTGCTACTAAAGTCACCATTTTTGGGTCAATCTAAATGGTGTTTGTAAGATATCAACCAATTAGGTAGTATCCACTTTACTTTTAAGGGCTTGTGTTAGAACGCTGCTAAAGCACATATCTGTGATCTCACAGGTAACGTCATGTTATGTTTAGACCGCTTTTGTCGCGAACTAGGGCTGTCTTTTCTAGTATTACTATGATTTTGTGCTTGTATAGCCTTAAAACTTATAATGTAGCTTCAAAGATGCTACGGGGTTGGGGGTTAAGTGAGAATCCTCCGCCCTGTATGTATTATGAATTAAATGCATGCATCCCAGAATACTGTGCTAATCTTGATCTCATAGGAATTTATTGCATTTTTGAACTAGGAATTGTGTGTATAACACCGCTTGTCACTGAATCTAATCATTAAACTTGGCACTTGTAAATACAGTTGCCACTCTCAAACGTAGCGAACCAACAGTAAACTCGATATGTGTGCCCATAACTTCGTCGCTAGGTACCTCACTTGGTGACAATATTTTCACTGCTAAATTGTAATGTTACGAGGCAATTCATGGAGTGTGTAGAGGACACTGAGATAAATCTGGATAAAGCATACAAGTAACTTGTGAGTTGGCTACGAATTTGCTACCTTAATGACAAAATTCCTTCTTCTTGTACATGGTTGTTATAGTCCAGACCTTTCATATATGTTTGGGGTTATAAATGGTGCCCTGGAAAGTTCAACAGCTGAAGTCTTTTTGATCAACCATTTTGCTGAACTAAACAGATTAAGTGATACTTGGCGTCCATCATCCAAGCATCGATACATCAGCCAAACAAAAACCCTACTGGAAAACCTCATAGATTGGTCCGAACCCCGTTGCCTACCGTTAAAATGTTCAAATGGAAAGATGTCATTTTTCGGTTTTCAAAGGAAATAATTACCAGCAAATGCTAACCTGGTGCCTGTAATTTTATATTGACGAGGAAGGTTTGACTTATTCTATTTGAGTAAAACACCTGGGAGTGACACTGAGCAGTGAGGTTACCTGGGCCCTTCACATGTCCGATACATTTATTGAAGTTGAATGATAATCATCCTATGTTACACCTCATGGGTCTTCTTCGTATCCCGTTTTTGAGCCAGCATTTCATGATTGCAGGTGTGTTATTGTCCTGGCCCGATTGCTCTCATGTGAACACCTTCGGTCTCTTGAGTAAGGACCTCAAAATTATTGCCAGATCCGTGAAGCAATTAACTGGATGTTGGGGAAGTCCACGGCTAGAAATTACTAACCTCATTGCGTCCAATCATATCAACTCATGTAACTTACACGCATCAAAAATACTCACTTATGTTATCTACTTCCTCTATGGAGCGTTGTCCGAATGCATATAAACAATCTCAGCTAGACCGAACTACAAAACTATACACATCCATACAAGGGTCTATGGTGCATCAGTTGCTCCTTGCCTGTCACGTTTCATGACCGACGAAAATCCATTATGCAAAGAACTGATTGGTAAAATACATCAGGGATGTTAGCTCTGGCAAGTTTTGTAACGGTTTTGGTTCCAAATATACTATCCTCAAATACAACTTGTTTTCATTATTTGTTTCTTTTTGCGGCCTTTTTGTTAGATCTGAAATTTCGCATTTCAAAGATGTATGAAGCCCATTCTTAGCTTGATTTGAATTATAACATGAGGTTGGATCTAACCGGATTTTAGGAGTATTGGTGACTCACACGTACGGGTTTGGGAGACGAGCAGTTCTTAACCCTACTGAATGATACTGAAAAAGGTATTGCAAGTGTAGCTCCTGCCCAAAAATATGCCGACCTGAGGTTAACTCAACTGTATCTATAGTTTAAGCCATGTCAGCTCGTTGATGTCTCTTAATTGCAAAAGATAGTGACGTTATATTAGAATAGCTGTAACACTGCAATCATTCAATGAACTTTAAGTTGATGTTCTCATAAATTATCTCATGAATGTTTTGTATATTTCACAGCTGGGATAAAGTGAAGCATATGGGATACTTCAAAGTCTAGCTGCATCGTTGTCACAGTATCAATCGTCAACTTCGTGTTTCCGAAACATGGTTCGAATTCGTATATAGAACGCAGAGAAATTGAAATTTTTTCTGTTATTTAGTGGTCTTCACCATGAGGAGCACCCGAATATAAGGGTTCTCATTAGTGTATAAAGCAGAAAAAGGCAGATGTGGTGATTCTTGAAAGACACAGTTATATTAGTTATGCTTAGTGCCAGCTTTTTCAGACTATACAAAAATCTTCTTTTTGACAGTTTACTGATATCTTCGGATGGAATAACTAAATTTACACGGTTTATTAGACACTGCTTCAGAAGGACTCCTTTATTTGACCTACAGCTAGGTTGGGCGGATGCACAAAACGGCTGCTGCCTTAAAATATACCCAAGTATGTCAAATAGGTATAATTCATGCCATGGTATTTTTCAGTAACGAATTCACATTCGTATTGATAGATACAAGCAATTTACCCAGCATCTGGACGTTATGCATTGAGTTTGATTGTAGCGTTTTCCAAACTTAGCGTCAGAATTAATGAAAGCAATGTTGTATATCTATGATTAGTGCCGTAAATGTCTGCCGCCTATTCCTTACATTTGTGATTACCTTTCCCTTCAAATAAGTGACTTTGTTGTGCTTGACATTAATGGGAAGTTAGATGGGATGTTTATAAGATCGTTATTAATAGTAACTATACTTGATATTTTAATATTTGCCAAAACCACTATCTGAGTAGCTTTTGGCGACGTGGGAAAAACAATTTAAGCATCAGTCCACGTTGGTCAGGGGAAATAATATTGTATGTTTACAGATGGGTTCATTTTTCGCGTCCACACTACCGTTGCTCTAGCACTGGAACATAATCTCAATGAAAAATCCATAAATGAGAAGCGAATTACAACATGCCTCAAATGTCACTCTTATCATTGAGTCTATATTGTTTTCGATGCGTTGAAACGAAAAGGTGATTTTTAAGATTAGATGACTATTCCATGTGATAAAAAGCAGGAAAATACAACTAAAAATGTTGGACACGTTACCTGTTCATTTGTTCTGTCTGTCACCGAGCTATCTTTCAGCAGCATCAGCCAATGCAGTTTATACAATCCTCGCGGATTGGGTTACACATGAGTTGATTTGCATTGAGTCAGTGTATTTTCTTATGTTGTTTCCTACCCCATTGATTCATATGACAACGTGAGCAGAAACACATTACTGATGCGTAGCAAATATGTGCAACACGTCCAAAGTCATCACATTTGCAACAGCGCTTGTATAGCTATTTATAACAAATGGTCGCGCCCCGGATAGTTCGTAGTGGGTCATATGCAAGGTCAAAGCAGACAAATGAACACTAGACTAAACTATTAGCAATGTTATGTTCTAAAATTTACTACTCTTTAGAAGCAAGCGAAACTATGTGTCGGCGACGCTGTTATCCTGTAAAACGGAAATCAGAAAAATATATGGTTAAGTGCAGACTTTAACGGCTTGTGCACTCCCAAGCTAACTCTCTTTTTAAGGACGTACTTGGCCAAAAGCTTTTACCGAACTAATGCTGGAAGTAGGGGTTAAATAAATTCGGCGTACACTTTAACTAGAGATTCTTAGAAATGTATTATACAGTGCACATGGTTTTTCGCATCCGATAGTATAAAGTCGCATTTTACGATAGATGATTTTAACAAGATAAACTTAGCTGAAAAAGTTTCTATTTAATTAGGGAGAGCAATACCTCAAACAAAAATACTACTTAACTGCATTGCAAAATTCAACCACGATGACACTTCAAATGTACTTTTATGATCTCCACCATCTATATATACATATATATATCATGTTCAAGTACAGTTTCTGCTAGGTGTTTTGTACAAACTAAGCGTCAACTATCTACACACCCTTCAGTTTTTTGTGTCGGCCGTTATACCCGCACTATCGGTCCAAGCTATCAATTATGTTTAATTTTATCAAGTATATGGATTGAGAGAGAATTAATACTACTTAACTTACATTGTCACAGGTTCAGCTGTGACAAACAGTTGTAGAGAAAGCAAAAGATTCAGAATGCGCAATTAATACTTGTTGTAGCAGCTGCTAAGACGAACAGTTTCAGATTAGCGACAGCCTCATTCGCATCCGCATACTCTTAATCCCTACCTATGACTTATTTGTTATCATTATAACTTACAGCATCCAGATATGAAAAATTTCTGTTTTCACTCTTGTATTTTGACCACCTTTTTGAAGCAAAGTAAATCGATAGGTTTGGCAGACAAATCTACGTGTAATATCACAAGCTTACCATGCTTCGACTGTTACTTCAATCTCTTGCCTCGCTGATTTCCTCACTTCACGCCTTTCCACCTTCACTTGCTTTGAACCGCCATAAGCCCCAAGAACCACGCATTTGAAAAGCGGAGGATCGGATTCCTGTGTTTGTTCCGGTTCATCCACTGATGCCTTTTTTTCGGCCAACTGCGACGTATTCGACTCTTCGGTTGCGCCTTCCGCCATGGTATCCTACGAATGTTAGGCGACTGCCACTTGATAACACTTATTATTCACCGATCTAGCTGATCCCTGGGCGTTAGATTTAGGTAATCTCAATTGGATAGATGCCTAACTATCTGTCCGTTCATCGATCCGTTCTAACTCGCAGCAAGCAGGTTACAACCAATGGGTATACGGCCGGCATTATTAAAGACCAGTTCATAAACATCGGTGAGACTAGAGCGGTTTACAGTTACATCAGCTCGCGTTGTGGAATGGGACAGAGGGTTAGAGCGAATGCATCGATTGCGTTCAGAAATGATGGAACAACGATAGACAGTGGGCTTTCGATTGAACGGCGGTGACAGTTTTTTTTGGCTAACTGACTTTTATATAATTCACCTGAATAGTTGAAATATTCTGTCTCGTAAGAACCGCACACGTCAACAAGAAGTTCTGTAAGTCAGCAAATTTAACATTCCATTAAGATTGAGAAATTAGGATGGCAGCTTTGACGCTGGTTATAAAATAAAGAACAGCTGCTAACCTCTAAAACCGTAATTTAGATAAACGATGCTAAATTTCTAAGTTCAAAATGATAGAAGCTTGGTACTTAAACTATTCTTTAACGGCATTAGCGCTCCACGAACACGACAAGCAAAGTCAAGGAAAAAATAATATTCATTCATTTAGATACAGGATGGACTAACCGGCTTATTTGTAATAGTGCACTACCCAACAGCTGCTCACTAATTGCTTTTGGAGTACACAAATCAGAATCTTGCATGGAATGTGAATAATCCAGTCATAACATTTGAGTTCACCTGGGTTTTGCTTTGGAAAAGCAAACTAAACGCTCCACAGGTTCCTTCCAATCCAATTATCATGATCGTTGCAAACTTAAACCCTAATCCTGTTAGGTTAAATATAATGTAATTAAATTTGCATTCTTGTGTCATTTCCTAATTAGTTTGAACATGAACAATGATTATCATATTTACGCTAGCTTGACCCCTTCTAGCCTGTTGTGGATCAAGGTTCGTGCGATTATTCTTCCCGATCTCTTGCTAACGTTTCTGAAGATTTTGTCTAAACTGGTAAGCACAAGAGTAGCACAGGTTGCTAATGAGCATTAAAGCAGTTGCTAACATTATATACTTTAATTCTCTAACTAAACCCCCTGTAGCGTTTCTTAACGTCTGCAATCTGCTAAACAGACGCGACGAGTTGTGATAAGTGACAATCTCTCAGCGACCAGACATATTAGGCCCTACTGAAACATGGTTATACTCCGAGTAACCGCCCAGAAAGTACAAATCAGCTGTTACTCTTACTTCCTCTGTGCTAGACCATCAGCTGATAGCGGTAGCGTGCTGCCTTACGTAAGTTCTTTCTTGTGTGAGAGACTCGTAATCACCTGACGAAATGGTCATTGTCTATGTGAGCAGTTATGCTGTTCGATTCACCTCAGACGTTGTGTGATACTCGTGGACGTGGTTCACTGAGCCGCTCCTTGGACTGTTTTCCACATGTTCCCAGCCACATGGTAGTCCGATGATCCTACTCATGAGGCGATTTCAACTTATCTCAAATACAGTGATCTAAGCCTGAACTCTCCGGTCATTTTGAAGTTGACAGGAAGTTCGCGAGAGGATATTGGAAACTGATGACACCCTGCACATCAGCCAGCCGACGCGCATATCTACGTGGGTGATTCTGTTAGGCAGAGCCTAGGATACTGGTCGGTAAGCAATGACACGTAAGACGTGTCAAATACGATACAGTATAGCAGTGGGAGGCGACTGAATTCACCAAGTATCGTGCAGGCTAAAAAAAAGAAAACGAATCAGCCAGAGCTAGAAACGGTGCAGCAAGTTACTCACCAAAACGCTCTGTGTCAACGGATGTGCAGTCAGTAAAACAAATGGACGTTTTGAAGGTTTAAACAACCGTAAAATCCAATGTTGCAAAATACTGAAAGAGTGTGTTTTACGGTACACTACAATTCCATCGTACTTATAGCTATTCTGACCACCTGTGAGCAACGTTTGAATGGCACTTAGGTCATGGATCCCCTGGATCGACGGACCACTCGATAATCCTAGTCCCCTTGGAACTGCCGCTGCCGTATTCTCCTGTGCTGGAGACATCCTTCAACTTCGGAATGACAGACATCAATGGAATCAATCGAGCCCAAGTGATATTGAATGGTCGTTACCGTAAGATTCATCTGTTGAAACCAGTTAGACTATTATTAAAGAGGGGTGAAAACGATGTGCGTCGGATTTGTACCCATCAAATATCAGAAGCTCAGGCCAGTCAAGCCACATTGGTTTGAAAGGAGTCCAGCAAACTGGCTCAAAGGAAACGAAACATGTGAAAGAAACTCGTGTTATCTGACTCTGACCAAGGTTACGAGGCGTGCAAGAAACAGTGAAATATCTGCAACAAGTCAAATCACAAAAGCACCGAAAAATCAGCTTGCAGCCGCAGCAAAATTGGCTCCCAACTTGATCCTCGCTTACGTGAAGCGGTGCCATTGTGCTCATTTTGCATGGTTCGGATAGAAAGACACCAAATTTGAACAGAGGCCATACATCCCCTTTGGCTGCGTACTTGCCGGGTCAGATGGAATCTACCCACTGATCCTCTAGTCCCTATAGACCATTATCTCGCCTTCCGTGACTGATCAATTCAGCAGGCAACAATCCACTGGTTCATTACCGAGCGATTGGTAATGCTCAGTCGTAAAGCCAATATTGAAAGGTGGTGACCCAAATAAATTAGATAACTACCGGCCACTCTGCCTGACCGCTGTTTTAGCACGGACGCTTGAGAAGAACTTGGAGGAGGGTCTTGTACAGCTCCTCGAGTTGAAATGCCTTTTGACGCCCCTACAGCATGGTTTCGTGCAAGGTCACGCATGCATTACCAACTTGCTGTTTACAAGGCACGAACTCTTTGAAGCGCTGAACCAAAGGAAGACGGTCGAAGTCAATTACATTGACACCAGTAACACTTTAGATAAGCTGTATCAAGAGGTGCTCCTTCACAGGTCTTGGGTGTCAGGTGTCGGCGGCTGGCTACACTGACTGATCAGGAATTGCCTTCTTTGTCGAAAGTAGCTGGTCCAGTTTGACAATCATCTGACCGACTGGTATTCATCGGGCAGTGGCGTTCTCCAAGGCACTGTACTGGGGCAAATTTCGTTACACACCCACATAAACAATGTGCATCAGCTTATTCATTCGGCCTGTGTGCTGTTTGTGGACGACTTGAAAGTGTGGAGAGTAAGCCCGGCACCTGATAACTATGACCTGCTTCAGCGGGACGTCCGCTGCTTCTCCATGTGGTCTGCAGAGTTCATCCTTCCCATCAACCCGATCAAGTCTCATTTCATGAGGTTGAGTAAGCGTGAACGCAGTCGAACATACACTGTGACCGATCAACCGCGACGTCCCGCGCCTTTCGTGTAAGACCTTGGTTTGCTCTCAGGCTGCGACTAAAAGTCCATGGACAACACTAACAGGCTTTACCAAAACGGCCTTTACATGCTTTGGGCCCTCAAACGCAGCTTCAGCATTTGGTCTGAAGTGATTGTCACTCGCATCTTCCTCCCAATAATACGACCCATGCTCGTGTTTTGTTCACCCACATACTGTCCTAGCACACTGTACTACCAAGAAATGATTGAGCGGGTACAGCATGTGGCCACCAAGCTAATCCCCATGATACTAGGTGTACGTACATAGACCAGTGCCATCGATTTTGGCTTAACCTTATCATGACGTACCGGACAATACATATCGGTGCTTACCCCATGTTGAGTCCACTGCTTCATCTGCGCACGTCTAACTGTACATGAGGACACCGGTACAAGCTTGTCGTACCCCATTTGAAGCGGGTCGCTCACCAAATGTGCTTCCAGTGGAGGGTGATGCGTGTGTGGAACAACCTGCCGCAGCAACTAGTTAAAGCAAAGTCTGTGCTGGAATACAGGAAATTCTTGAACAAATCGAACACACTCTAACGTTGAAGGCATTGGTAGATGAGTGATATTAGAGGTAGCCACACATAGATAGATCGCCTTGATGCTCCCAACCAGTATTCAGTAATCAGAACCACCTTAATATCGGAATTCTGCGTATTAACTGATAAGCAACTGAAACATGGGTGTAGTTGATTCCATTGGTGCCAATTTATCCGTAGTAATCCCAAGATATCCCACCGGACTACTTCGTTCTATCTATCTCACTGTTTGCAAAACTTATGGCCATTAAATTAGGTAACATCGAACTCCTTTAACACACAGCTATTATCATCACCATGGGTTTTGTGCTTGTATTTCAATAGAGGGTTTGCATGTTCCATTATCTTTCTCTGCCCTCTGTCTGAAAGGTTCATGGAAATAAAAGTGGCTGACATTGTCATGTTTAAAAGTTCACACATCCCCCACCTTGAAGAAAAGAAAGTTGCGCGACACAGTGGATCCGAAAATACATCAAGATAACGTAATCATTGATCACCAAATGAAGATGAAACTACGATGCAGTTCACATCTGATTCAAACCATTACACCAAAAATTGGCCACTGCTTTTTATAAATTTAGGTTATGCTCCCGCTACAAAACAACTATAAATGTCTTGATTGGCTCCGCTTGAAAAACCCAACTGCATCTAATAGCGTAGCAGAGGCGTAGGATAAGGGAAGGTAGGGAGTCCGTCCTGGGCGACATGTGACAGGAGGCGGCATTGTTAGTACCGCCGACTGTTATCTACCAAATATAAATGGTGAAATTTCCAGCTGACCTGAGGGTCGAATATTTTAATGTTACTCAGTAGGATCAACAACACATTTGCGCCATGTGACAAACTCATTTAAACATCCTTCCCAGCCATCCAGTTACTTTCATCATATTTATCTCAGAGTCCCAAACGATCATACATATCACCGAAAACTAATGAACCCTTTACCTTGAGCCCATTGCATATCTTTCACGCGCCTATTCTACCTTCAGTCTGGGCGAATTTGTTATTGCAATCGCGGGCGGTAAAAGTAGTAACGAGTACAATACAAATCAAGTTGTTTTCAAGAAAAAATTGGTCAGTTGCAAATATTCAAACAAGCGAGCCAGTAAAGTTATCTTCTATAGTATGGTCTAGCTTGTATTTTTGACAATCAAATACGTATATTCATCCCGTCGGTAGTAGAAAATAAATAGACATATATTTTCTATAAACAGTAACTTAC